CAGGTTGGTCATCACAATGTAATTAGAGGGCATCTCCAGGTATGAATTACTCCTTCTATTCTGAAAATCAACCAGCAACAATACAGTCCTGTCCTACCTCTTCCTGCTTCCTCTGTGACTCAAGGAGAGTGCAACACAGGGTCCAGGAAAGTGCTGCCTCTTGCAAACATTGACTGCAAAGATGCACCTACTTTGGTAATGGTCCTCCTCCCTCCCACTCCACTCTGCTTGTCCCCTTCCATATAGACAGACACTGAATCTAAAATCCCCTGCAGGCCAGGCTGGACTAGTCAAACTAAATTAAAAACAAAGACTTAGAAAACAAGTAATAAAACAAATGGCAAACCATCTTTCAAGGAAAAATATAACTCCCAAAACTCTGGTTTGGGGAAAAAAAATGGGAGTAATTTAAATATATTTACTTATTTTACTGCTTATTTTTATTAACCTTTAAACCTCTGAAGTGAGTTTATTAATTTTATAAACTCTTAAGAATAATACTCACCAAAACATCAGGCTAGGCTTGGAGTGTTTTATTAACACTGTAGTATGTTCAGACAATTATATCACAATTTATTACTAGAATTTTTCTGTTATTCAAAATTTTTAAATATACCAAAGTAGAGACAATAATATAATATACCTATCCTCTAACTGAAAAAACTCTCAACATGACTAATTTTATTTCATTTGTGCTTTCAAGCTCTCTCCAACTATTTTTTTGGGAGGATGGTACTGAGGATTGAACCCAACACCTTAGCACTGAGCTATGCCTACAGCCCTTTTTTTGCTTTTTAATTTGAAACGGGGTCTCACTAAGTCACTAAATTGCGCAGGATGGGCTTGAACTTGTGATCTTCCTGCCTCAGCCTCCCAAAGTGCTGGGATTACAAGGGCTCATCACCACCCTAGCTCCAACTGCAAACATTTTGAAGTAAATTCCAGATGTATTAGATTCAATCCTCAGTACAAGGAAAGGAGGAAGGGAAAAGGAAGTGAGGGAAAGGGAGAGGAAGGGAGTAGAGTAGCTAAGTCACAGGTAAGTTTTGTTTAGATTTATAAGAAAACACCAGGATTTCTTCCAAAATGATTTGTATGAGAATTCTAAGTTACTCCACATCTTCACCCATATTTGGTATCAGTCACTGAGCTGTACATATTTTAAGAGGTGGGTTCTATAGAGTTAACTTATGTTTTTAATTTTTCTTGTTTTTTAAAAACTACTAATGCTCCAGAACAACTCAGTCCTAGTGTATGGGTACCAACCCCAACATGAGGATGTAAGACCAAAGAAAATGAGGCAGACAGATCTAGGATTGCATAAAGTTCAATTTATTGGGCAGGGGATTTAGCTCAGTGGTTTCGCCACCTGCTGCGCAAGTACAAGGACCTGAGTTCGATCCCCGGTACCAAAAAAAAAAAAAAAGTTCAATTTATTGGGAGAATTACCCAGAATGGGTCCTGGGCAGCAGCATGAACAGATGGCTCGCTACAGTTCTGGGTCAGAAAGAGGACTGGACTTTATTCTGGCTGGAATGGACCTCATTTATTTTAAGATATTATCAGGAGTATCAGGAGCCAAAATCAGATTGTAAAGCACCACAAGTGGCTCTAATGGTTTCATCTACTTATGTTCTGGTAGGAAACTATGCAGGAAAAATCAGCTCAGGGACAACCATGGCAGTTATGCTTGCTGCAGTCCTCCTGCCTCAGCTTCCTAAATACAAGTATGTGCCACCACACCCAGCACTTCTGGTTGTTTTTTAAGCTATTAATACTTTCTCTTTAATTGTTATCATCCCAGATTCTATGTTCATCCAGAACATTAATATGATGAAGAAAACTGCCTAAGAACCAACAGTGCAATTTCCACTTTGCTTTGGTATGGTCCTATCTGATGGCATATGAGCCAGAAGAAACGTGCACTAAAGAAACATGCTGTAAGGAACCAAGTGTGCATGGGAGCGGAGGTGTTTTCCAAGAGAAACCCAAAACCCATTAAGTTTAATTCATTATCCAAACAGCCTCTCCCTCCCTCTCCCCTCGCACCTTTTCTCTTTGGTCATTCCATCAGTAGCTTCCATTTCTTCTGAGGATTCTTTCTTTAATTATCTTTAAGAACTGAGGAAAGGGGCTGGGGATTTAGCTCAGTGGTTCCGCCGCCTGCCTCACAAGCACAAGGATCCAAGTTCAATCCCCGGTACGAAAAAAAAAAAAAAAAAGAACTGAGGAAAATTCAAGTTTCTCTAGACTGAGAAGAGTTTCTCAAACTTTCCCAAATCTGACACATCTCAAAATTCAGACTGATTTTTTTTTTTTACAGGAATCTAAAAGCACATGAAAAGCAACAACTGGGTTGAGTTCAAAAGTTTCATGATCATGGATGCCATAAGGGAATCTAAAGAATCCTAGATGACCCTGAGGCTTTGTAGACCAGTGGTAGAGCCCTTGTGTACAATGTGTAAGGCCCTGGGTTCACCCTCAATACCACAAAAAAATTCCTACATGAGATTCTTAGAATTAACAATTATAATTTTTTAAATGTCTTCAATATTTTGAACTGTTATTCCACATTAGATTATCACATTTCTCATATTTCAATTAACTCAAAGATTACTTTAGGTTTAGACCCCCAAAACTGTCATCAGTTGTCAGATGCAATTCTTCACTGATCCTTCCCATGGACTCCTCTCTCCATCTCAATACTTTCTGACTCAAGAGCAGCATGCCAAGAACTGGATAACATCCAGCCCAGCCTCCAGGAAGCATCTTGTGTGAAGACCCATGCATATACAGGTAACCCCAAGGTGCTGTGTGGCAACTTTCTGGGGTACTGATGCCACTACAAGAACAGCAGCAGCAAAATGAGCAGAAGAGCTAGCTGAGGTGCCTCTGTCAAGCGGGTCCTTGCTCACATCACAAGAGGCAGTATAACAGCTACAGGACATTCTTATCCCAGGATAAGTCTGGACAGTCTTATGTTTGAAAACACGTATTTGGGGGGGAATCCAAGCTATGTTTTATTACAATAAACTGAAGGATGGGGATATTTTTAATATGCTAAAAGCTGATATTGTCATTTATGCTAAGAAATAAGAGAAAAAATAGTGGACTGAGGCAAATTTGCATAAAACCAATCAGCTGAAGTGTGTACAAATCTGGGAAAAACATTTCAGGTCCTTTGTTTAAAAAAAGTTCCTTTCTTATGAGTGCCACCTTCAGTGCACAAGCTGAGTGATCTAAACAAACCATAAACTATTGTTTAAAGTCTGAGTTCAGATAAATATGAATTTTTAACTTTAAATGTAAAAAGGCAGATATGTGTGTTAGTTGGTTTATGGATCAAAATATCACAGGTTTTTAGATTTCTTCATTACATGTTTTAATTTTTTATTTTTACATAAATTCAGATTTACAAACAGGTTGGAGATTACCAAACAATTTGCATTTTCTGGTAATCCAGACTCTTGTGCTAACACTGCAGAAAGGAGCTCTTTTACCTTGAAAGACTCCAGACTGAATGTCTTAAAAACCAAGACATTCCCTGTCATAACTAATACAAATATCAAAATCAAGAAATCAACATTCATTGACAGAATACTATATACTATTACTTAGCTGTAAATTTTGTTCAAATTTTTCCATTTGTCCCAATTGTGTCCTTAATAACAAAATTGTGGATGATAAGTTGCATTCAGTTTTTGTATCTCTTTACACTTCTTTAATCTGAACATGTCCTCAGTCACTGTCTGTGTGTTTCATAACACTGACATTTTATTTTTGGAACCAGGGATCGAACTCGGGACCTTGCGCTTGCGAGGCAGGCGGCAGAACCACTGAGCTAAATCCCCGGCCCAACACTGACATTTTTGAAGTGTACGACCCAGTAATAGCATAGAAACCCCTTCATCTAGGTTTGTCTGATGGTCCCCAAGAGTAAATTCAGACTGTATTCATTTGGCAGGAGGATCAGAGAAAGGATATTGTACTTCTCAGTGCATCCAGGTACCAGTTTACCTCTTTACTGGTGATAATATGTCATCAGACAGGTTTCGCCAACTGTAAAGTTACTGTTTCCTTTGGTGACTAATAAATATCTTCTGGAAAGAAAACTTCAGACTATGCCAATACCCTATTTCCATTAATTTTTTTTTTTTTTTTTTTTTTGGTACCAGGGATCGAATTTGGGACCTTGCGCTTGTGAGGGAGGCAGCGGAACCACTGAGCTAAATCCCTGGCTCTTTACCATTAATTTTAACACAGATTTTTTTCTTAGTTTTCCACTTTCCAGAACTTTCTAAGCAAAGCCTTAAGCTTCTTTGACCTAATCTCTACCTTAACAAATAAATGCTACATTTAGTACCTATTAAGATCTCAGTATACTCAAACCAAACTCTTGGTGAGGACCACAAAAGGAAATCAAACTCATCTTTTGTCATATAAAAGTGGCAGCAGGGCTGGGGATTTAGCTCAGTGGTTCCGCCACCTGCCTCGCAAGCGCAAGGTCCTGAGTTTGATCCCAGGTGCCAAAAAAAAAAAAAAAAGTGGCAGCATACCCTGAGGGATTTTATGCTGGCAGCTGAGAGCAGTACAGCATTCTGTGTCTCCAATGTTTGGGAAAGAATGATCCAACAGTGCTATAGTTTTATGTCAAAATTCCTGTATCTCAGTTTAAAGACTTATTTGGTAAAGTGATATATGTTCAGTAGCAACAAGCAATAATGTTAAATACTTCAACATTTTTCTTTAAAATATTTCAAACACTATCTTTTTTTAAAGAAAAGACAGTCCCCCTACCCTACCCTAACAAAAAGAGTTCTCAGGTAAAGTTTAATTCCCCCTCCCCTTTTTCTCCATCCACTCACCCCTCCCCAAAGCTGTTTTTTCTCCCCTACTCCAGACTTTATAACCTAGACTGGAAGTAATCTCGTGAAATCTGTTAGAAGACAGAAGGACAAATGAGGCTCTTCTAGTCCTGGATTCTAAACAACTGTCCTTACCTGCTGTGGAAAACAGGTGCGGACTGAGTGCTCTGTGTAACCGAAAGATGGCCCTTCAAAGACAGCTGTTGGTAGCTTCAGAACTTCCTTCAGAAACTGGTCAAACTTGCTAAATATCATTAAGCCACTGGAATCTGACATCTGGGAGAAAATATCTATGAGAACAAAACCAAATAAAATCAAAGTATAAGAATATAATCAGCTTTTTATAAATGGCTCTATGCTGTTTGTAACCAGTAAAAAGTATCATTTAAAAGTATCATGAAGTTATTATGATTTTTAACTAATATTAAAACTACTCTCATTAAGACTGTGTGGTTACTTTGCTGACAAGGCCCCTAGATTCCATGCACTTAATATTATACCTAAACATGAAGTTGAATGATCTTCTCATGTATGGCCACTTACCTACCCTTGAGTATATATAACTGAATGAAATAATTTTAATTTTACTTATGTATGCCTCATTGTATTCCAAGAATAATTTGTAGCAGCTTATCTTTATCCTTAAGTATCTATATTTATGTAAAGCATATACATGTCTGAATGTATGAATATTTAGCATACTGGTGATAAGGTACGTAATTATACTCTATTTGTATATTCGTGTACTAATGAATGTAATTGTATACCTGTGAAGGGATAAATATGAAAGAAACATAAAGAATGTTTAAAACATTGTGTTTAGTGAGTTCCAAAGTAGAATTAAAATTACAGCTTATAAACTCTTCTATCCCAAGATATTCTGACACTACAGAACCCTATTTTTATATAGTCTAGCCAAGCAGATGGGAAAGAAATTTCCAGATACATTACTATTTCTTTATTTTAATACAAAGTTTATGTTTTACTTATTCCCCTCTTTTCTTCCACAATTGGGTATAAAAACAGGACATGACAAAGAAATGTGACCTAAACATTTCTTCAAACTATTGAGCTTTCCTATAAAACAAAGATAATGAATTAAATATGCACAGAAAATCATTTCCTGAGGCTTTTTCAAACACAGTATTTTAAAAATTCATAGTATATATATCCATAGTAAGTATGTATATGAGAAATCTTTATCTATATAATAAATATACAGAATATACCTGTAGATATTACTCTTTTTTTTTGGTACCGGGGATCGAACTCAGGGCCTTGCGCTTGCGAGGCAGGTGGCGGCACCACTGAGCTAAATCCCCGGCATGTATGTATTACTCTTTAGGTTCAATTTGGGGAATTTATCCTGAAGCACCAAGTGAAGACAAAAATATTTTAAATACATTAATCTAAAAAAGATAAAATGTTACATTATCACTCCATAGGGCAATTTTTTTTTTTTTTTGGTACTGGGGATCGAACTTGGGTCCTTGCGCTTGCGCAGCAGGTGGCGAAACCACAGAGCTAAATCCCCGGCCCTCCATAGGGTAATTTTTAAGGCTTAAGAAAACAGGACATTATCAAAAGAATGAAAATTTTCGGTATATCCTTACAACTACTCCTACCTTGTAGTTGAAAGGAAAAATATTAAATATCAACATGGGTTGCAGGAAACAAGAATTCAATGAGAGGTTAAAACAGGTATGGGTTAATGGAAAATAAAATCAATTAATTAAAAAATACCAACTAAGTTCATGCTATGTGGTCCAACTACCAGGCACTATGCCAGGTATTTTGAAGCACAACAAAGTACTATGATACGTAGCTCTTCTCCCCAACAAACTTTACCACAGCTGGAAAAACAAGATCCAGATGAATCAAAGAAGAATTATGAGCTACAATGACTCTAAATCAACAGGAAGAGGACAGGCAAAAAGATATTTTTATTAACCCCTACCATGTGCCAAGTACCATACTGTGCCTGGCAATAGTCATTCAATATTCATTATCTTCCTCTTCCTTAGTAATAGAACACTAATTTCATTTTATGCAGCAACGCTCTCAACTAACAGAGTAAATTTCCCAGCATCATCTTAGCAAGGTATGGTCATGTGACTAAGTATTGGCCAATGAGACCATAAACAAAAGGGTTAAGAGATACTTTCAGAAATGCTAAAGAAAGCAAACTACCCAAAAGGCAGGCCCCTTCCCCTTATCCTCTCCTTCTTGTGCTTTACGAAATGCAGCTATGACTGCAAAAGCTCCAGCAGCCACTTTAGAGTATGTGGCAATCGCCACCTTGACACAGAAATCATGCACAGGTGGTAGAAAAGAAAAACAGAAAAAAAACTTGGGTTTCAGAAGAACATGAGGTAGGGTCAGGGATGTAACTCAATGGCACAGCACCTGCCTGACAAGCGCAAGGTCCTGAATTCAATTCCAGGGAGGAAGAAGAGGAAGAGGAGGAGGAGAACAAAAACAACAACACGAGGCTTCCAAAGTAGCCTGGACTATCTACCTCTAGACTTCTTGTATGTAAGGGGAAAAAAAAAACTTCAACTTTAAGACACTATCTGGGGTTTCTGAGAGTGCACCATGATGTACACCTGTTATCTCAGCACTATAGGAGGCTGAGGCAGAAGGACTGAAAGTTAAAAAGTTCTGCCTGGGCAACTTGGCAAGACTGTCTCAAAATATTAAATTTAAAATGAGGGCAGGGGGAGGCTGGAGATGTAACTCAGTGGTAGAATGTCCCTGAGTTCAATCCCCAATACCACCAAAAAAAAAAAAAAAAGATATAGGTAATGATATTTTAGCATAAAAGGGTTAATTTACTTACGGTCAAAAAGTTAGTAAGTTGCCAGATCAAGTTTAAACCCACACCTGTCTGACCCAAAGTAAATTTCATTATTCCATATTCCTTTAAGATATAATTTAGAATAGACATGAAAATATAGGCACAAGAATTAACTACCTAAAAAAAAAATCAGCTAAAGGACAACATAATACCAATTTTAGAAGCATATTACTAAAATAAATAGACTAAGCACTTGAAAATAAGCATAATAAACAAGAGACATTATCAATATGAAACAGGAACCACAAATATTAAAAAAAGAAATGAATTAGGTATACAACAGCTAAAAAAACCATGTAATTATGTTTATTCTACATAATAAACAGCATAGCTCTGATGAAGGACAAATAGACAAGCAGAAAGATAAACTGATGAACTTCCAAAAAACAGATTTAAAGAAATTGAACCATATGTGAAATATTAATAAAGAAGACAGAAGTAGATATGCCAACAGTCAGAAAAAGAAATTGTTAAGAATGTTCAAAAAGGCAGGAATCTAGGCTCTGAAAACTGGGGTTTGGAATAATGAAGTGAAAACAGGCTAGAGTGGAACTGAGAGTCACACTAGAGAAGAGAGGGACAAGTCCCTTGGACAGGAATGTGTAGGGTTATGTCTGTTATTGGTGGTAAACAGGAAACAGGGAACTGAGGAGAACATTCTGACTCTGAAATAAAGATGGATTAAGAAGAATATTCTCGGGCCGGGGATTTAGCTCAGTGGTTCTGGCACCTGTCTTGCAAGCGCAAGGTCCCGAGTTCGATCCCCAGTACCAAAAAAAAAAGAAAAGAATATTCTTGTTATAAAAGAAAACTGACAGATAAAAGAAAGCCATTTTGATTTGGCTTTAGAACTTTTGAGCGGGCTGAAATGTTTAGAAAGCTAAGTTTCAAGAAGATTTGAGCTGGGGAGGGAGCTTAGTGGTGAAGTTTTGTCTAGAATGTGCAAGGCTCTGCACTCAACTCCCCCAGCCTGGGCTGGGGTGTGATGGTGCTGATTTGATGTTACTATGACTGAAAGAAGAGGAACAGAATTGGAGAAAACCTCGTCAATAAAGCACAAATGAGGGAGTCAGATTCTAGGTCACAGTAGTGTCCATAATGGGAATGGCGTCAAACTCAAGACATTTCAGTGCAAAGAATAGCAGCTAATGGCAAACTTGATCAGCGGATACAGGAATGCTAAAGGTTAGGGTTGTTCTAAATCTCTAGCGTGGGAAAATGCTGATGACTCTGACTGAAGTAAGCAAATCAAAGACCAACACCCTATTAGCTTTGAACCTAACTGTACTTGGACTAATCTGCACATTTTCAAGCAAAACCACCCTGCAGACAGAAAGAGAGAGGCCTGGGTCACAGTTCAAGAAGGACTACAGACAGAAAGTTCTGAAATGTTACCACTGATGGAATAAAGTGATGTTCTTCAACTGAGGGAAGAGTATGAGTCAATCTTTAAGCAGCTGGCTGCTCTTTTTATAATGCAGAAAATAATCATCCATTAAATCTGAATGGAGGCCAGGTGTAGTGGGGCATGACTATAATCCCAGCATTCAGGAGGCTGAGGCAAGAGGGTCTCCATGAGTCTGAGGCCAGCCTGGGCTACACAGTGAGTTCAAGGTCAGCCTGAACTACATAGTGAGACCCTGTCTCAAACAAACAAACAAACAAAAACCCTAACGGAGATAAGTCAATATAGGACATGGCAGGCACAAGGCCCCCACTCAATTATTTCCCCTTTTGCTAACTGAAACCTGACTGCGATTAGAATGACAAAGGGCCCACTTATAAAAAATTACTTCCAGTCCTTCTGCACACTGTAACTCCAGTAGATTTATGAATAACTTTTTATTTTCCTAATACTGGTGCCTCTTTCTTCCTTCTGCCTGGAATGAGTATGTGAGGCCTGGGCCATAACATCATCTTATTACCCTAAGGAAGAAAGCCACATAGCAGAGCAGGAAAGGATGACGAACGAGAATCTTTCAATATTCTCAGGCCATGGTGTCAACTTTGAACTTAACAGCCTTTGGACTTATTTTCACATGAGAAAAAATAAATTCTAATGTATTTAAACTACTGTTAGTTCAGTTTTCTATTGCTAATCAATGTATTCATAGCTAAGAAACTAAAATGTAATTAAATTATAGCCACTAGTGGAAATTTTCAGGACCACAGTCTTTAGCTACCAAGAATATAAATACAGCAATCACACAAACACACATGTATAGACTCTTATCAACAAAATCTACATCTTCTTCTTCTTTTTTTTTTTTTTTTGGTTTTTGAGACCAGGTCTCTGTATGTAGCCCAGACTGGCCTCAAACTTGGGGCAATCCTCCTGCCTCAGCCTCTGGAGTGCTAGGATTACAGGTGTGCACCACCACACCCGGCTTACATTTTACTTCTTTGAAATAATAAAAAGGAGTATCTAGATAG